TCTGTAATGACATTTTTCATTCCACCCATTTTTTTTTTTGGAATGTGTTGTTGTTTATAAGTTAACTCTTCTGGTTCCACGTAGTCAGGTTTTATAGCTTTATTTTGCTTTTGTGAAGTCTTTATCTGAGTTAGTAATTGGGTGAAGTTCTCATGTGTCCTTATCTCAGGTTGCGGTCTGATGATACTGGTTTTCTATCTGAAGGACTCCCTTGAATATTTTTTGTAAGATGGCTTGGTTTTTATAAATTACCTTAGTTTCCTCTTATCTAGGAAAGTCTTATTTTCACTATTATATTTGAAAGATAAATTTCCTGGAACATATGATTCTTGTTTGGCAATTCATTCCCTTCAGGATTTTATGTATGTCATCCTATTGGTTTCTTACCTCCAAAGTTTCTAATGAGATCTCTCCACTTAGTCTTATTGGTGCCTCATGTAAAGCGCCACAAGCTGCTTCAGAACTTTTTGCCTTTTATTTTGTGTAAAATTCACATTTATTCAACATAATTTCATTGACTATCTCTTTCAATAAACACATTAGATGAAAGAATAGCAAATAACAGCTTTCACCATAAAGGCATTTATAATCTAAAGGGAATGATAAATATGACAGCTTTGGGTTTGGTTCTTTTGGTGCTTTTTTTGTTGTTGCTGTTTTTTGGTATGCTGTATGGCATTCATTGAGCTTCTTGGATGGTAACCATCTCATCTTTTATGATATTTGGGAAATTTTTAGCCACTATACCTTCAAAACTTCTCTCTGTATTTCTTTGTCTCCTCTTCTGGAATTCTTCTTATACAAAAATTATTCCTCTTCTTGTTGTACCACATAATTAGGCTTTCTTCATTTTTTTTTTTTTTTTTTCTGATTGTACTTCAAACAAATTAGTACCAACAGATTTGTCCTCTATTTAATCAATTCCATTGATTCAATTCTACTTCGGCATCCTTCTATTGAGTTATTCATTTATGATATTTTACTGTTAATCTTCTGAATTTCTAGCTGTTGTTTTCTATGGTTTCTAATTGTCTGTCTAGTCTGTCATTTAGCTCATGTATTATGTTCCTGAATTTTTCTGGAGTTTTTTTCTGTGTTTTCCTTGATATCTTTGAGGATCCCAAATATAAGATTTTGAATTCACTTTCAGGTAGTTCTATTATTGCTTCTTCCTCTGAAAGGTTTTCTTTCCTTTTATTTTGCTCATATGTTTGAGCTATTTTATCCTGTTTAGTCATATGATTTGTTTTGTCTATTGTCCTTGATGCATTAGGTATTATTTCATTTATTTGTGTACGTATTTATTAATTGCATGTTTGTTATTTTGTTATTTTGTTATAATGTTTTGTTTTATTTTGATATATCAGAGTGAGTGGGGCAGGCATGTTCCACCTATCACTCATCTGGCAGCACGATGACTACATGTCATCACATGAGTAGGGCACTGAAGGACAGGGTGAGTGCATGTTCCTTTTCACTGTGTGATCAGGGAAACTGAAGGCATGGACCAATGTGTATCATCTGTGCAGCAGTGCAAGAGCATGCAACTGCACTCACCACATGGGCAGAGCAATGGCTGGGGTGGGGGTAGTGTGAGGTGGGTGTGGCTAGTGACCAGAGGCAGGAAGGCACTGCTGCTTTCCTGGTGGGCTGGGAAGTGGGTGTGTGATGGGCAACTGGCTGGGTGGGTGCCTCACTTGGAGTAGGTGGGTGGATAAGGTGGTAAGGCAATGGGAGTATGAAAGGTGACTGGGGTCACAGGAGTGCCCTCTGCAGCTTGCTCTGGGTGGGTGGAGTGGTGAGTGGAGGTGCGGAGGGTGACCAAGGGCACCCCTGCCGCTCATCAGATGATCAGGGTTGTGGGGGAGGGGGCTGATAGGGCTGGGTGGAGAGGGAAGAGGTGTTTGTACCACAGTCTTAGAGTAGGCAGACTGATAGGAGTGGAAGGGGTTTATTCTTCTAATCACCAGGTGTGAAAGAGAAGGGGGAGTGTCCTCCCTTGGTCACAAAGCATGCCTGAGCACTTCTCTTTGGATATAGCCAGCAATTTGGACCTGGCCCCAACCAAGTGTGAGGGAGGTGGGGAGGCCCATAGTCTGATCAGGTGAGGAATCCCCTGCTGACACTTTATGGATCTATCACTGGATGTGTGCCGCCCACCCTAATGGTCAGGGTCTGCTGCTGGTGAGTAGTCCTATCTCTGGATACTGGCTCCCTCCCAGCTCTGTGGATGCCAGGATCCCTGGAACTCTTGCTCTCCTTCCTGTATTTTTCCTCTTTACATCCAGTTCATGTCCTGTACACCTCTCTTCAGTCTGGCTATGTCTAGATACTTTCTCCATCTCATATTGGGAAGTCTGTGAAGCTGCCTTCCTTTGCTCCTCACTCAAGACTGCTGCTGGCTTTGTCTCAAGATGGCCATGCTGTGTCAGGCCAGCTGGCAGAATACCTCCACTGCATACCTCTCCTTGATCACTATTTTCAGTCAGTTTTTTCTTCCAACTGGTGTTCTATATAATTCTTTATCCTTACATTTGATTATCCAAGTTCTAGGACTGTTATCTGTATCTGTTTTGCTAGGTTTCCAGGTCTTTGCTGTGGAGGGACAGCATGGTGTGCCTGACTAGACTGCCATCTTGGGCTGTCTTTCAATATTATCTTTATTAAATTGTTACCACTGTTGTTTTATGTTAGTGAACATTTAAACAATTATTAGGGATTTCAGGGCTCATTCTAAATCTATATGTCCAACCTTACTTTCAGTTAAGACTTTACTATTTTCAATCAAGTTTTCTCCCAGCAGTAGATTGCTATTAAAGAACTGCTATCTAAAGAATTCAATAAAAAAGTTTCAGACTCCACTACTGCAGGTGATTCAAACTTACAACTCTGCTTAATCTGATGTTTTGCTTGGTCTGTATACTGTCATAAAAATTCCTAAATTAGAAAGCCTTTAAGTAGGCTATGCACTGTTGGATTAATCACAGTTCTCAGTTGAGATTAGCTCCTCCAGGCATTTTATCTGCCTGGAATCTGAAAGCATTTTGTTTGCAAACCATGTAATCAAGTATTTTAAAGAGATAAGTTCATCCACTTTTTATCTCTTCAAAATAACAGTAATATTTGGGTTTAGATGTAAAGTTAATTCTCAAGAGTAGAATTACAGGTAACTTAATATTTATGAGAGGACATAGAACATACTTGAAGACAATTATAAGACTAATGGAGCATGAATAGAACTATGAATAAAGAGACCCAAATCAAGTTTTTTGGAGGACAATGTTTTCTTTTCAAAAGAGACCCCTAACCTGAATATGGAAAAACAGATCAAATTTAACAGTCAGAAAAGATATGGAAATGTGAAGGTGAGGACAGAAGTTCTATCTAGAAAGAAGAGATGGAGTAGAGTCACAGATGTGGGAAAACACAGGGCATTATCAAAGAAGAACAAGAAGGTAGTAACAGAAAAAAAGAAGTCAAATAAGGTAAGAGCCAAATATTATTCTATTGTAGCCCTCACCTATTCCAAGCTCTCTCTCTCTTCTACTTGAGAGTAAGACAGCTCCCAAACCCCAACACCTGAGCCAGCTTATCTGCTTATCTGCTACTCTGGTCTTACCAAGACCCAAAGCCTCCTGATCTAGTGATTGTGTCCCTTCATCTTTGTTAATAAGGAAGCATCACAAAAGTCTTATAAATGACTCCTGTCAAGCACCCTCTCTTCTGCTTGCTCCAGCAATCCAATCCCCTTATTTTCATTGTTCCCTGACATGGCTTAGGTCTGTCTGGTCACAACTCTGCCCTTACCTGTACCTAGGCAATTCCCCAGCATACCCCGAGGCCCATAACTGGGTCCTTCACAGAGAAAGAGCATCAGTTTCTAACTTATTGCTATTAATTTCCTCTAGTTTCTCTAGCTACCTCCAATTAAATCAGTGGGTTTCCTATTTCAGATAATGATTCCTTTACGTCTCAGTCAGCCCATTCAAACAAAACAGACAATCAACAACAACAACCCTCAGGGTTGCATTCTCATTTATCCTCTATACTCCATATTCACCAATATTCATGCTTTCTCCTCTCTACTCCTTCAGCCCCTGGATACCAGAACTGTGGCACCCAAATGATTACTGCAAGATTCTTATAACTACCACCAAGATTATAACCATTACCAGTTACCATCAAGTGGATTCCAACTCACACCATAAAGGACAGAGCACAACTAGTCCAGTATTTCCAAGGCTACAATCTTTATGGAAGCAGAGTGCCACTTCTTTATCCCACAGAGCACCTGGTAGGTTCCCACTATGCCACCAGGACTCCTACCATGATGACAGCCTTTCCTCAATGTCAATTTATCCTGAATAGTTAGATCAAAACATTCTCCACAAAAATTTTAAATGTCTCCATATTTCCCCATATATGAAATTTAAATATTTTTGGTGGCTTTCAAAGACCCTCATGATCTGATTCATTTCCATCTATTTCATCTTATTTCCTTCAACATCATGTTTACCCACCCAGTTATCCGCAGTTTGTTACTTCCCAGCTCTACATGCTCAGCAGGGTGTGGCAGGGGTCTCTGGCTGATATAACTCCTCCTGGTCTTTCACACTCATATTATTTCTTCAGGAACAATTTCCTTACTTCTTATTGATTTCTTCAGCCTCCTAACTCCCATATATATTCTTTATCACATAAGCTCATACATCTTTAATTTATTTCAGTTTTGATTGCTGTTATTTCACATTTGTTCATTATGTTTTGGCAAATAAGTGTATGCACTCTAAGAGTCTTAGAGTCAGGATTCTATCTGTTTTGTTTTATGATTATTTCAAGTGTTTAACATGATGATCAACATAATATAGACATTTAATAAGCAGCTACTGATTCATGCCTGAGTTAAACAAAGACTTTCAATAGTGAATGGCTGAAATAGATTTTGAAGAACTAAATATATGATGCAGGAGAAAACAGAGATACACTAAAAGCAAACTTACCAGAGAAGACACTAGGTATCTTGGAAAGGAAGCTTTTGACTGTACGAATAGGAATCCCATTTTTTTCATCTTGCATGCGTGCTATGACGTCTTCCATCTAGACAACAATAAAATTAAAATCCCTTAAAAGCTGAATTAATATTTGTGATAAATAAATTTTATATGCTAGTTTTACCCAAGTAAGAAAAATAACATATTTTTGCCTTGGTAGGAATTGTCACATTAATATTTTTAATTTTGTTAACAGAAGACAGAGAAAACAAGAAAAATAGGCATTTAAGGGTCTATTAAGCTACTAATAGGAAATACATGCTTGAATATTCCCTCTATCCTGCTTCCATATTCTTTGTTATACAGATTGAGATTAAAGAGTGTTCACTTTTGAGGTCATCAGAAACCACTGTCATAACAAAATACACACTCCATTAACGTTCTCTTGACTAAATCCAGTGAAAAAGAATATAGAAGCCTTAAAAGCATCTGAATGGAATTCCTTTTGAAGCAAAACAGTTTTTATGGCTTGGTTTAAGGATAAATTTCTAAAATCTTTCTGGAAGTATAGGAGTGATTGCTAGCAACTGCTGCTTCTCCTGCTCAGGCACTTGACTCAGGTGGGATATGAAACACACACCCACACTCTTAACATAATTAATGTGACACACAACCTTCTATCCATTTAGTGGATTCACTGTGTCTTTCTTTCTATCTTGGCAGCACACTCTCACTTTTGAAAAAGATCCACAGTATTAAAGGACAGAGATTCACAAAGTCTAATGTGATTTAAGGAGCTCTGGCATAGTAGTGGGTAGCCATTTGGCTGCTAACCAGAAGGTTGACGGTTCAAACCCACCAGCTATTCTGTGGGAGATGATGAAGCAATGTACTTCCGTAAGGATTTATAGCCTTGGAAATCCAACGGAGATCACTGTAAGAATCGACTCAATGGCAGTGGGTTAATGTGGAATTCAGTTATGAATGCCATTCATTCGAACTATATCTTATACTTTTCACACATGCTTCTAAACTATACTTACACACAGACACCCACACATTCATATACTCACACACCACAAACACACATACACCCACACACATACTCAAAATGTATTAATTCATTTATGCATTTTACAATCATTTACTGATCTGGTAGTGTAGTGCCTAAGGCACTTGACTGCTAACCAGAAGGCTGGCGATTCAAACCCACCAGCCACTCCTCGGAAGGAAGGCTGGACAATCTACTTCCATAGTGATACCACCTCGGAGACCCAAGGAGGGGTCGCTATGAGTCAGGTCCGACTCGATGCCACATAACAACAACAACAGATTTACCACTAGAAATTATGGATATGAAAATGAACATAACATCACTCCTGCCCTCAAAAAATTCAGTCAATAGTGAAAACAATGGCAAAATTTGAATAATAAATGTAGTTTAGTTCATAGTGGTATATCAATGTCACTGTCTTATTTTTGATAATTAAGAGAGCTGGTGGCATAGTGGGTAAAACAGTTGGCTGCTAATCAAAAGTTCAGCAGTTCAAACCCACCAATAGCTCCGTGGGAGGACAATGAGACATTATTATGTAAGTAGTTAGCATTAGAGAAAGCTGAATTAAAGGCATTTGGGTATTTTCTGTACTATTTCTGCAACTTTTCTGTAAGTGTAAAATTATTTCAAAATAAAGATTCAAAGGGTAAATTTCATATCAATGACTTATCAAATTTTCAACAACACAGTTTAAAAATGGTTTTCAGTTATGATATTTACTTGGATGGGTAAAACCAGATTTATTAATTTGAGAAAAGAAACTGGAGATGTGGAAAGAATGGGTCTACACTTGATGCTCAGCTCTTCTAGTTACCATCCATGTTACAATGAGCAAGTTAGGTAACCTCTCTAAGGCTCAGTTTCCTCATCTGTAGTATGGTGATACAACAGGCTGGAGGGAAAGATAAAATGATATACATATTATTTAACAATATGCAAATACAAAGCTGTTGTTAGTTGCTGACAAATAGACTTTATGGTGACTCCATGTACAGTGGAGGAGCTCTGGTAGCATAGTGGCTAAGACACTTGACCGCTAACCAGAAGGCTGGCGGTTCAAACCCACCAGCCACTCCTCGGAAGGAAGATGGGGCAATCTACCTCCATAGTGATACTGCCTCGGAAACCCAAGGAGGGGTCGCTATGAGCTGTGTCCGACTCCACAGCACATAACAACAACAACAACATGTACAATGGAAAAAATGTTTTGCACTCCTGCACTATCTTCACAATCATTGATATGCTTGACTCCATTGTTGGGGCTATTTGAAGTGCCTTCTAATCTTGAGAGTTCATCTTCCAGCACTACATTAGACAATATTTTGTTGTGGTCCATAGGGCTTTCATTGGCTGGTTTTTAGAAGTAGATCTCCAGGCCTTTCTTCCTAGTCTGCTTTAGTCTGGAAGCTCTGCTGAAACCTATCTACCATGGAAGAGTCTGCTGGTATTTGAAGTACCAGTGGCACAGCTTCCAGCATTATAGCAACACAGAAGCCACTATACTACAATAAACTGAGAGATAAGTGGTGGGTTATATAAAGTACCATATCAGAAATACTGGATTCAAGTGCCAGCACACAATCCTCAAAGTTTTATGTGGAGGGAGCACTATTAGCCTAATTTTCCTGGTCTCTTTCTGCCTTTTATCTCACTCTACTCCAGGAGACTTGGGCTGACTTATCTAACAGAAGAGTTGGGAATGAGAATTGGCCTGCAGGACTTATCTCCTTTCTTCTGACAGGGAATAAGGCAGTTCAGAATTGGGTTTCAGCTATTTTTTTGTGCATTCATCAATAATAGTTCAATCACCAATCCTCCCCTTCCGCTTTCTCATTTAGTTGTGTTTTTCTATTCGTTCATATTTAGATAGCAAAGAACATTGCTTTGTACTGGGTCCCCAAAAGGTTCTGACAATATCCACTTATCTCACTTCTTTTCATTTAATAAAGGTATTCATCTAAGTATAGAAACACAAACATAGACACTTTCTCATGATTTTTTTATTTGGTTACTGTTTGCCTTTCACTCACCTAAAACAATGTTCAGAAAACGAGGAATAAACTGCTTTGCCCTGCCTACTGTCAGCCTCTAAATCCATGTATTATCTACTTAAAGGTTTAAGCCAGGCTGCATTTGACAGACACAGGAAACTCTTTAACTCACAGTTTAAACAGCTCAGCACCCAGGGACAAGGCATCAGTTGCCTCTGGGTAGGAGGTGAATTAAAGCACCTAATTGTGGTTTTTCCCTGCAAAGTCACATCAGATCATAGTTCACTGGATCACAATGAACACAATCAGTACTCAGAAACCAGAAAAAAGAATTTATAAGATGACTTCTGTTGTTACATTTTTAAAGTCATTAATTGTTTGCAGCCATCATCTCCATAATAGAAAAACATTTTAAAATCACGTACAAATACGAGTATATTCTAGAAAATAATAGTTACATGAAAATATGAATAGGCAAATGTGTTTAACTGCTTTGATCTTTCCTAAGATGTGGTTACCCATGAACCTACAACCAGAAAAGTAAGTAAGTAGAAATATATAAAATAAAGTCTAATATATCTTCCCTACCATTATCAAAAAACCCTGGTGTCTAAAAAGCTAAATTAGTCACTACCACATATAAAGTTTATGCATCTTATTCACTAAAGTTCCCTCAAACATTCTCTCACAGTCTACTTCTTTTTACATTATACAAATTTTGACATATTTATTATCTGTTTCCCAATATTGGAAGAAAAAAAAAAAAAGGTTGCAGTCAAGTGTATTCCTATTCATGGTAACCCCCATGTAAGTCGCAGTAGAACTGTGCTCCATAGGGGTTTTCAATTGGTGTAGCTGTAAGGAGAAAAGATAAATCTTATGGAAGGAGTTGCTGGGTGGTGCAAACATTGAGTGCTCACCTACTAGCTGAAAGTTTGGTGTTCTAAACCCATCCAGAGTCACCTCAGAAGACAAGCCTGGTGATCTGCTTCTGAAAGGTCACAGTGTTGAAAACCAATATAGTGCAGTTTTACTCTGCACACATGGGATCACTATGAGTAGGAATCACACTAGACAACAATTAACCACAACAATCTTACAGAAGTAGGTCACCAAGCCTCTTTCTTGTCACTAATGGGTGAATTCAAACTGCTGACATTCCAGTTAATAACCAACCTCATCATATGCACCACCAGCCCAGGGGAGGTTGTTACGTGTCAGAATTGACTCAATGGCTGTGAATTTGTTTTTTTTGGTTTTGGTTAGGAACCTTTTAGCAATAATAAATTGGATGAGAAAGGAAATGCTAGGAGCTCTGGTAGTGTAGTGCCTAAGGCACTTGACTGCTAACCAGAAGGCTGGCAGTTGAAACCCACCAGCCACTCCTCAGAAGGAAGGTTGGGGAACCTACTTCCATAGTGATAGTGCCTTGGAAACCCAAGGAGGGGTCACCATGAGTCAGGTATGATTTGACAGCACATAACAACAACAACAACAATAGTTGGCAAACTAATAGAGTAAGCTGGATAGCAAGAGGGATGAGAAGAACAATAAAAAATAAAAGTAATAAATATTAAAACTTTCTGGAATATTTCAGTTTAAGACTACCTTCAGTTTAGATAACTCAAGCATCAGAAAAGCAGATATATAGAGAGATACATATAACCCATTGCTGTCAAGTCAACTCCAACTTATAGCAACCCTACAGGACAGAGCAGAATTGGCTGTAATCTTTACAGACACAGACAGCCACATCTTTCTCCTACAGAGCAGCTGGTGTGTTTGAACCACCAACCTTTTGGTTAGCAGCCTAGTGCTTTAAACATGACACCACCAGGGCTCCTATATATATAGATAGATAGATACACATATATATAGTGAATACATATATATAACAAATTTTTACTAAATAGTAAAACAAATAAATCCTAAAACACTAATATTAAAACTCTTTAGGACATTTCAATTTAAGACCACCTTCAGTTTAATTATCTCAAGCATCTCAAAAGCATACACGTGTGTGTGTATGAACATATGAGTGTGTATACACACACACAC